GGATCACACCCTCAAGTCAAGTACAACAACCTCTTTAGTGTTCAAATAATGCATTTACTTTATCAATTGTATTCTGCACTTTCTTGAAATCTTGTTCAGCTAACCTTTTTGGGTCTCCTACCCCACCTTTCTATTTGTTACGGTATCCACGGCTACCGCCCCACAGGTACCGCTGACCGTTCTAATCTTTGGAATGGGAGAGGAGAAACACCACATTATCAGAGTGCAAAATGATCTGTTTTCAGGCATTAAGCAGTCAGGTAGCTGTAAATTCCATGAAGCAAAGGCATTATTTGCCATTTTGTTGTGATGCTAATTAATATTCTTGGAATGAAAAAAATCAGGAGATGTTAATGGCTGGCTTTACTCAGAGGATCATTTGATGCCAATATGAAAGCCAAGGAGAGGAGGCAATTATGCACACATCACATGCATCCTAGTTTCGGTATGGAAGCTTACATTTCAAACCTAAGGTCAGGAAAATAACATGAAAAGTTTTACTACAAAGTCTAGACATGAGGGAGATTTAAGAGGATAGGGAGGAAGCACATTGCAGGTGTCAGATAATCTAGTCTGATTATCTGAGCTGTGCTAGCTATAGGGGAACACTTACCCTTCAGTCCAGCTAGAAGTTAGCAGGGTAAGAAGGAACAAACCAGAATAACATAAAGACTAGCAACAAGGCTCAGGAAAGCAGACAGGAGTTCTAACCTAGCAGCTAAAGTTCTTGGGTTTGAGCAAAGATTGAACAAGAAAACGTAAATGATACAAAATAAAACAAAAACCAAAATCAACCCTCCCTCCCAAACCAACAGTTACCAAGACCCCACTAACTGTTGAAGGCTGTTAGGGTGATAGCAAAAATAGAACAGTTCTCAAAAACATCCAACTTTGGGGATGTATGATGTGATTAACAGTTATTAGTTGAGAAACAGACATTAAAATGAGACTCATTTCAAGTGATATATCAAGTAATCATTGACCAAAGAGCAAAGCTTAAAATCCCCCCTCCCTCCACCCCACATGAGAACGGAGGTACCGATTGTTACTGTTCCTCTAACACAGACTGGACAGGAATCAGGTGTCTCAATGAGAGGCCACTTGGTGTAATAAAATGTGGCAACCCTCAACAACAGATTTGGACGTAGTTTCCAAGGTGAGCAATATTGGCCTTCAAAATTGGAACATTGCACATATTGATTCAAAAACATTGGACAGCTAGCCACTGACTTCATTTCTTCACGTTGTAACCAAAATGAAAGGGGAAAAATTAAATCAACGACAACACACACCAAAAAAACCACAAAAGAACAAAAAAGTTTTAAAGTTTGGTGGAACCCTCCCCAGATCATTGTAGAGTCACATACAAACGAATGAATAGCAGGATCTATTTTTTTCTTCGGTTTTTACAATTCCATGGAAATACTCCACTCCACTCTTTCTTAGACGTGTCTTTTCATTTTGAAATTGCAAAAAATAAAAACTGTACCCAGAAGTCTGTCAAACTGAATTTAGAAAGACCCAAATAAACTCATAATTACTCCCAAGCTTCCCAAACTGTAAGATGTTCTATTCTCAAGTTACCCTTGAGCAGACAGCGACATGACAAGACTGGAGTGTTTATTTTTCTCTACCCAAAAAACCTCTCCCATTTTTCCATAGCTTCCCTTTGCCAAGTAATACTAATAAAGTGATTACAAAGTTAACTCGCTCGAACGTTGTTCCTAAAAATTATTCACTTGCAAGAATGGCAAATATTTTGAACAGATATTGGATTTGATGAACTGTGTACAGAATTAGGTATTTAACAATGACCCTTACCTTTTGGAAGTCAAGGAAACCTTTTTAAAATGCAATACTTGATTGGTTTTACTCATTTTGTTCCAGAACTGGTGCCTGAATGTTTGCGACGTGACAATTTAGACTGAGAGCCAAATATCAGGGAAGGATCAAAGTTTGCTACTTAGTACTATGCTGTGATTGTTTTTCATTTTTCTAGAACCTTGCTTTGTAGTGCCAGGTGACCAACCTGTCCCAGTTTGCCCAGGACCAACGAATATCTGGGGACACAGAACTTTCAGAGCTAAAACCAGGGAAGTCGTGGGCGAATCTGGGTAAGGCGGTAACCCTAAGTATGAATCGACAATGTGAGTATGACTGCTACCCATAGATCAGGCCCGATCTGTTTCATAGTGATGGTTTGAAATTAACAAACTAAGTGTAGCTGTAAAGTAATTGTGACATAATCCCCATTTTGTGGCAGATTCCACTAAAAATTATGATATATTCTCCAACCCCCAGCCAGTTTTTGGTTGTTATGCATAACTACTCAGTGGCAGTACTACAGAATGTAAAGTTCCTTATTCCCTTTTTTTTTTTTTTTTTTAATCTTTAGCATTGGTGTTATATACCCCTCACTGCAAATGCTCAGGTGTGGTGCAAAAGGCTGGGTCGGTTAAAATCCTGACTGGATTCCTTTGCTAAATTATGGGAAAAGAAGCCTCACTTGCTGGTACTCTGGCTGCAGTTTTTATTAAGTGCCTAACCTAGCGATAGAAAGAATCTGGAGGGGTGCTGAGCGTCTGTTTTAGTAGTAAAGGAACTACGGGATTATTGGGTTCGACACTAGGGATGATATTACCCATATTCTAACCCTTAGAATTTTGCTTTGGATTCTCCATTTAATACAAGTTCCCTATGTCAACTAGGGTGGTGACATACATCAAGCTCCTGTGCAATCAATTAAATCTTCCTGCTGATGCCTAATGACTAGCACTCTAATTTTCTTGCTAAATGAATCTTACCCACAGAGGAAAATCTAATCAAGAGCCCCTGCATATTTCCATGAGGAGACACTCATTGCCTCTTCAGCAGCCTCCATTGGTGGTCTTTTTTTTTTCTTTTCAATCAGTACCTGGTTTCCATTTATTTTACTCCTGAATTCCTTCCTCTTTCCTACCCTAGTGAGGAAAAAATGAGGCTAATCACAAATGAAGCAGTGATTTCTTGATCTGGGCAGATGATAGAACATAAACACTGAAAGGTAGGTGAAATGACTTCAGAAGAAATTGAGATTCTTTGGAAATAAAACCAGCATTTTCCAAATACCACTGAATTTAGATACACGTTCTATGAGGTTGATTTGGATGGTGATTACAATTAGAAATTTTCTCCCCTGATGTGCGCATAATTCTATTTCAGAGGAACATGATAGGATGTGTTGTTTCTAAATTTATTAAAATGGAGCCTGTCAGGCAGGGTGAAAGGAAGGATTCCATCACGGAGTGTTTCTTTAAAACAAAGTAAATAAAAATTGGGTATGCTTGATCTCAAATCATGACTAAACCCAGAGAAAGAGATGTTGCCTTCTCTCTTTATTGATCTCAGATAAACTTAAGTGTCACAAATGTTAGAGAAAACAAGAAGAGAGTGGGGAAGATGGTGGGGGTTACGTTCAGGAGGGCTGTCCCTTACCCCAATGTCCTTCCTCAACTTCGTCCTCCTTCTTTCAGGGTTTTCTGTATGGAAACCCATAGTGATGGTGTGATTATCCATAATGTTCCATGGATAATACATCTTTCTTTAAGAAACCATTGGTACTGGACAGGAATTCCTTGGAGCACCTGATGGATAGTGTTTCTCATCCAAAAAGAGTTTTTGTTTGTTTTTGCCATAAGCAACAGTGTTACAAGAACACAGAAATGGACATGGCAGTGGAATCTATTAGGAAAGAAAATTCACCTCTCTTTAGCTGTGTAGCTGTAAAATCATTTGAATCATATGCATATTTTGCTTAAGAGTGACAGGGAGAGATTATGTAGAACCACTGCCTTGAAGGCCAAGTTTCTGCTGTGGGCTTTTGCACCTGCTTTCCTGTCTGCTGGGAAGGTATTTTTGAGCTGACTTCCTATCATTTGGGCTTGAGTTCAGATCATCTCTCTCTACCCAGTCACCACTGCATTATATTCTCTTTGTATTTTTCAATGTCTGCAACTATGTTATTTATTTTTTTGATTTGTGTGCTGGGATGCAGGTATCCTGAGAGCAGGGACCTCGTCTGCCTTCCTCATTTGTATGTCTCCTGGCCTGGATGGTTGTCTCTGTGAACTAGACTGAGTAGGTTCCGTGCTAAAGTAAGGAATCATCATGATGATTGCTGAAAATGACTTGTACCTGAGTGATCCCTGAATGACTTGATATTCAGGGTATGGCACAACTCTCTATTTATAGTTGATGTTTGTAACTAAAATGAATTACTTTATTTGGTGCTTTATATTTCCAGTGTTTCCATTGCCTTTGTTTTAATAAACGTCTCCAAGTGCATGCTGGATTTCACCTTGCCTCATGTATAAGAAGTGCTGGGAGAGGGAAAAAAAATCTCCTAGGTAGCAAAAAGTTATGACAAAAGGGCAAGATGTTAAAATGGATACAGAGGTAAGAGGAAAAGGAACTGGAAAATGAACCAGCAACATTTAAAGAAACAGCTTCATTGCTGGGTCCTCGTATATTTGCTCAGAATGGGATTTTAGGTACCATTT